TTTAGATATAAAAATTATATATTTATTATTTTACATGTCATATATAAAAATGAATATAAATGAAGACACAACATATAGAAATGCTTTTGTGCATCAATTGAAACATCTTGCTCTTTTCTCCTATCCCTTCCCTATTGTCTATCTTCACAATCTTACAGAGAAAGAAGAGAGCAGACTGGGAAAACAAGTAAACAAGGCTGAGCAGAGAGGAAGCAGGAATCTGAATCCTCTGAGAAAGCTGACAAAATCCCTCCCAGAGTGGTAAGCAAAACGTGGCAGGCATTTGAATATGGCAGTTCTTACTCTGTCTTTCTTAAGCTGCCTAAAATCAAAGTGTGTGTTTAGAAATTCTTTGTAGAGTTTGTTTTCTAATTTTTTTATTTGTATTTTTTTACTACCACAGAGTCTCCAAAGAGAGTAATGTGTACCAGAAAGTCCATCTAAATCTGGCTGAACTCGGAAGCACACAACAGCTGCTGGGGAGGTCTGGCCCTACTGCCAACACCTTCCCAGCTGGACTGGCAAGTCCCATCGTCTAAAGGGCTTGAATGGTATCTGGAACATGTACTTTGAAACCAGGAGTCTGCAAAATAGTGCCTAAAGGCTGCCCGGGCTCAGTAACCAAACAGACCAGCCTGGAGAGCACTCAAGGAAGACAGTTCATCGAGGGTGGAAATGCTGGCAGATGTGTCATTACTTGACGTAACAGAACACCAGTAGGAAAAAAAGCTATAGTTAAGCATCAGGAATTAACAAAGGAAACGAACAAAACACATGCCAAACCCCAAGATGGCAAGTCAACCATCCCATAACATACAATATCCAATTAAAAGACGTTTTAATTTACTGTCATTTCCCCCCCAAGTTATTCTTGGTTTTAATTTGACAAAACACATGCACAAGGACTTTATTTCTCCCCACTGAGATTATTAGCAATTATAACTTTAAGAACAAATTGGTTTAAATAAAATTATCATTTGCAGATGTTTTCTAATTCCTGGAACTGACAGCCTCTGAATGGCTGTTCTTTCACTTTCACAACCTTGGTTGGTCTAAAACAGGAGAATGAAACTCCAGCATGACAGTCCCAGAACGGTGATATGAAAGGCACTAAGGTAAATATAATCACTGCTACCACACTCTCAAAAAGTGACTGGAAATGAAGGCAAACTCTTCATCTTCAGATTAGCCAAATCTGTATTACCAGCTGGTAGGTAACGACATGCACTTTGAGTAACTCCAAAATGCCTCGGAAAATGCCAGACCACCGCCTTATGCGTATTTGGAAGCTGCCTTAGAAAACTATTCACGTCTGTGTCCCAGCCCTCACCAGGGACTATGGATGAAGCATCCCTCTGTTCCCTTTAATAAGGTGTCCACACTGATGCCCTTCAAGGTAGCCTGCAGAAGTACTGACAGCTGTAAGTGCAAAACAAATCTTTGCACCTTCCTAGCTTGGCTGAATGTTCCTCAGACCCCTGAGCCTGCCCCATCACCTCTCAGATTTATTTCCCTTCATGATTTGTTGCTGCTTCTTAGCTTTTTTCCAATTACATCATCACAGCAACAAGTATCTACTTACCAGCCACTATTTTTAACAGAGATATCCAAATCATCTCAGCTTGTAAGCCTAGCCTAAGGGCTGAGACATCATGTAGGAGTGAAGTGAACACAAAGCAAAGTTCATTCATGCAAAGAAAGCCCTTGCATCTTGGGTCGGTTTTGTTTCCACTAGATCAAAGGGGAACAGTCCCCCGCTATCAGACAGAAGCTGATGTGTTCAGGATCCGGAGTACAGTACCTGAAAGTCTTTCCCGAATGTCCTGGCTGAAATGGGCTTCCCTGTGAGTAAAGCTGCTGGTTTCCTGCTGTGGATGCTGAGGCCATCATTTTTTTATCTGCTACAAAAGAAAAACAAATCACAGAAAGAGAAAAGTTTAGGGGATGAGAAAATGAAGACAAAATTATTTATGAGAATTGCAATGTATATACGCAGCAGGGATTTTTCTTTCCTTCTTAAAGCTTTATGAAGAAGCCCTGTAGAACACATTAAGAACAACACAAAAGGGCTATATGACAATTCAGTATGAAACAAGAGGCACAGCTGGTTTGTGTCTACTTCATACCCTCTTCGCAGGATGTACCTCATTAATACTATTGTTTGCATGGAACATAACACAGGTATGCGCCCTCCAGCCACGCAGCCCAGACTGTCTCTGTGCCTGCTGGAAGCTGCTCCTGAGCATGCAGGCAGAAGGGGGAACTGGAGGCTATTCCTGCTTGTATCAGGAATAGTGTGGCCAGCAGGAGCAGGGAGGTGATTGTTCCCCTGTACTCGGCGCTGGTGAGGCTGCGCCTGGAATACTGTGTCCAGTTTTGGGCCCCTCAATACAAGAAGGACATTGAGGTGCTGGAGTGTGTTCAGAGAAGGGCAACGAAGCTGGTGAAGGGTCTGGAGCACAGGCCTTATGAGGAGCGGCTGAGGGAACTGGGGTTGTTCAGCCTGGGGAAGAGGAGGCTGAGGGGAGACCTTATCGCTCCCTACAACTACCTGAAAGGAGGTTGTAGTGAGGCGGGTGTTGGTCTCTTCTCCCAAGTAACAAGCAATAGGACAAGAGGCAATGGGCTCAAGCTGCACCAGGGGAGGTTTAGATTGGATATTGGGAAAAATTTCTTCACGGAAAGGGTGGTCAAGAATTGGAACAGGCTGCCCAGAGAGGTGGTGGCGTCACTATCCCTGCAAGTGTTCAAAAACTGGGTAGACGTGGCACTTTGGGACATGGTTTAGTGGGCATGGTGGTGTTGGGTTGATGATTGGACTGATGATCTTAGAGGTCCTTTCCAATGTTAATGATTCCTAGTTTTTACTTTCATTATAAATAATCCAGCCACCAAGCCAGAAAACACAAAATTGCTACTCTGCCCTTAACTGGTTTAGTGGTAGACTTGGTAATGTTAGGTTAATGGTTGGACTGGATGATCTTAAAAGTCTTTTCCAACCTAAACGATTCTATGATTCTATGATTTTACAGAGAGCGGCTCTGGCCGAGGCAGGGAGTGATAGGTGCATTGGTCCCAGCTACAGACTGGAAAGGGGCACAAAGGTTTTCTGGAGGAAAGGTGGGAGAGTATGCCTGGGGGAATGGAGGAATGCCACATGAAACAAGCCTGGTCTGAAGAAGGTCTGATGCATGTGCACCTCTGCGGCTACCTGGGAGTGGCCTCAGGTGAGAGTACGTTTCTGGCACCAGAAGCCCTGCAGGGCCACTGCTGTTATCGCAGCCTGTTTGCACTGAGGTAGCAGCTGAGGGCCCACACCCTGCTAGGTGAAATGCCCCAAGAAACGGTGTCAAAGAGCCCCCCTCCTAACCAGCTGATAGTCTGCCTCCCTCCAGGACAGCCGGGGAGGAGTACCCAACTCTCCCCAGCAGCCTGGCGGCATGCCTGCAGATCTCAGGGTGGCCACCTGCAAACCTGGGTGATCCTGCAGCCCCTACCTGCATTTCAATCTCACAGGTGGCTGGAGGCGCTTTGCTTCTTGAGCGTCTGCAAGACTTGTGCACCTGAGCTGGGGCAAGGCAAAACACTGCTGTCTTATGGATTTTGCTGTCCTATATGTGGCTTGAGGGAGCCATGAAATAGGATACAAGCATCCCAGTGGGGTGTAATACAGACTAGTCTAGTGAATAACACACACATGGAGATGCCATTAACTTTTATAGTCTACTCTTAATGTGGCAACTGGAGATCAATCTCTAATTGAATGAAACAAGATTGGGTGAACAGTGCCATTTGGTCCCTTAATTTAATTTTCTGGCACTGGATTATTCCAAAGCCCAGGGAAACCTCACTACTACTACTTTTCTTAAAATAGTTTAAAGGCCTACCCCTTTATTCACTTTCCTCATCTTCCCTTACCACCTCCAAGTGCAAAACAGCCCGCAACTCGCTGATAGCTTTGCAACCATTTGTTGCTACACACCTCTGACAAGCCTAGAAATCAAGTCTGCCTCCTCATTTTCCCCTTTGCTCTTTTCAGATTCCCACTCATTTCACCAGATGCTTTCCTGGACAAAAGGCCCACTCAGCTCACAAGGAATAGAAGTATTTTTTAGTTTTCCCTAGCTTTTAGAGACCTTGTGAGTGTGGTTCACCAAAGGCCTCCAATACACATCAGCTCTTCTCTGTTACCTAAGTCCTTCGTACATTATGTTCCTAACAAGAATCTAAGCTCGCCTTCCCAAAGAAAAAAGTCACCCCAAATTACCTCACAGAAGCCTCAGAGAAGGGGTGCATATGCCACTGATGCAAGCTGTCATTGTTTTTCCTCTGTAATGTAGAAATTCCTCACTGGCTACATATTGCCCAGCACAGACACTGAGTCTGGGCTGCAAACCTATGCTCTCATATGAAAAAAACAAAGAGAAATGGGGACAAGGTCTAGAGAAAGTTGTGTATTTAGTAGGAAGAATTGAGAATGGGTTGGGATATCTCTGGGAAGAAGGATAGACGATTTTGCCTTTTTCTGCAGTAATGTCATTCTTGCATGAGATGTCCCATTTTTCTAAGGCCACCCTTTACAGGGATACCAAACTCTCAGGGCTGGAAGAGACTGAGCCAAAATCCTGTGGGTACTTTAGATATTTGAGAACAACTCACCAGCAAAATTGAGAGTGCCCTAAGTGAACTGGAATTCCTCAAGTGGAGCAGAGTTGCCATGGCAGCTACCAGGGTCTGTGCTGCTGGATGAGGCCAAGACAAAGGGAATGGCTAAACTAATCTCAAGCAGCTAAATTGGCTTTGAAATCTCTTTCTTAAGTTACATCGAATGCTCTTTAGCCTCTGAATCTGGCCCACATCTTTGCCAGCTGTATGCCCACTCAGGACTTAACATACTACTTCTCTGCTCTCACCTTTGGTACAGCACTGAAAACCTGTTTTGTTTTGGTGTTTTACCTGCATCCTTAGACCTGTTTCTCTCTAAACACCATCACTGTACTGGTCAATGATATGCCCTTCTCCCAGCAGGACCAGCGTTTCTGCCAGTAGAATGAAGACCTCTGTAAGAACCACATCATTCCGTGCTACAAGGCACTTGCATGAATTGGTAAAGCCAGGCTTCCTCTCCCCACTTCTGTTTTTTAATTACGTGTGGCCACTGCATGCAATTATGGCAACAATCTCCCTATGTCAAACCTGTATTTTTACAGAACATAGCAGAGAATGAGACTGGGTATCAACATAATGCAAATATCTTGCAGGCAGCATGCAGGTTTGTCAATATTGGTTTTGGACAGTGTATCTCATCTCTAACTGTGAACCATCTCTTTTTATCATTCAGAGAAGACCTTGATCACAGCTCCCATGAGAAATTCAGACAGGATGAACGTCCCAAAAAAAGCATAGCCTGTAAATTGATAAGAATGAAAAGAGAAATGGCATTTCCAAGAACATAACCTCCCAGCTACCTCACAGCTTGCTAGACCCTTAACCCTAACCCCTGCCCACAAACAGTTGAGAGCTGCCTGTAAAAAAGCCAATAAGGCAGCCAAAAAGCAAGATGTTCTTGCTTGGAAAAACATATTCTGGTGTTTAGGGTTGGAGTCTTGCTACTTTCTAATGGGACCCCTTTTATGGCCTCAGCTGTTGACTTCACTGTTAGAGTAGACAGACAAGGATGAACAGGAATCAGAGAAGTCCTAGCAACAGGAGGACAGAATATCAAGTCTATCCTGCAGTTATGATGCCTTCTCCATTTGAAAAGGCCAAGCCAGACATAAGAAACCAATGCAGTGAGGTCACCTCCCAACACCCCTGGAGTCAAACCCTGTGGGTTGTTTCCTTCATGTGCTGTGTGACACTGGCATGTTGATTTATTTAAAACAAATGTAAAAACTTCTCTTTTTCAGTGGGGACAGTTAAGAACAATAAACAATTAATGAGTTCTTCCACAAGCAGTGGAATTAATGAGCCTGGTTTCCTACAGATACGTTTCGAATGACCCCTTCGGCTGCCAGTCTTCTCAATGACTTCTGTCTGTTAGGGCAACAGGCAGCATAGGATGGGGCTAGTTTGAGTCAGCTACATCTGTCCAACTGACAAGTTGGCTGCTACCTCTTAGAACAGGGCTGGGAAATCCTTTGGTGAGGGCACTCAGTAAGGACTCTGTCTTCACTGCAATTTTCATGAAATATAGAAGAACATACTATTTCTGAGACTCCTATCACTCTTATAAGAACTTGCCAACAAGTTCAAAAGTTGTGGGAAAAAGAGCAAGGACTCACTGACAGGTAACGTGACTGGAGATGCCTCAACTGACCAGAAAACAAGCATATTATTACACTTCAAGGCAGCATATGCCTCTGAAAGCATCAATGCAAAAGCTGGTAATTTGACAAAAAACTGCAGGCCTATCTTAAGACTACATGGTAACTTTCTTAATCCATGTCTATTTAGAGAGATGAACTCACATCTGCTGTTGAAGAAAGAAAATATACACTTAGAAATGGCAAGTTCTGCTCAGTATGTTTAGTATCTACAAACACTGCTTAAGATGCCCCTGTGAAATGAAAAGAGAATCAAATATAGGTAGCTCTGGTGACATGAAAGCTCTCCTTCCCTCCTTGAATTTACTCCTCCTCATCTTCAGGGGAAATATCAACTAAAGGCAAATTCTAGGAAATGTCCTGAAGACTGACATTGCTGGGAAATTTCTCTGCCATGTTGTAGTTTCTCTTCATTCTCTTGAAGCTGTGCTCCACATCATGTGACCAAGCCTAACACAGTATTAGAAGTTAAACAGCAGAGACATTCACTTACAAGCAGTTATTCCAGCAAACATCTCAGCGAATCTTGGATCTCTCTCTTGGGAGAAGATGGCATCAGGCTTTTCCACAGACTTTCCACCCTCATGAACGTTAGCTGGTATACTTGGAACAGGCACCTGTTGAGATACAGAGGAAGGTAATTCCCTCCATCATATTTGACGAAAAGGAATTCAGGGACAGTCACAATGTATTTTTAATTTTGCTGAAATCTTCCATTGCTTTATGTTTTAAAAGATCAGAGACACAAAAAAATCCTTGAGAAATTTCACCTGAGATAAGTCATAGGATGACAGCCCATCTCTTTGATGTACTTCAAGTTCTGCTTGCTGCTGCTGAAGTTGTCTGCAAAGGAGACAAAATGACTTCATTAAAAAAACCAATTAAGATACAAAAAGGAACAGCCTTGGTCTTGTATTTTATACTCTGAATGAAACTTTTCTCAGATGATTTAGTAAATCCTTTCCTGTAAGATTCATCTGTTTTTAAAGCTTACACATTGAGAAAGCTTGCACCATGGGAATGTAACAGGGCACATGAAGAGTTTTGCTGTAATAGCACAGAAATGTAGGTGGGTAAGTAATGGAGGATGGAATACAACTTCCTTATAAAGGATTTAAGAATTCACTACGAAGACACCAAGATTGTCTTCCTCATGTTAACGATGAATATACCAGACCCCTTCACTGATCCTACTGAAGTAAACAGGAAACCTCCAGTAACACTAATGCAGAATTATGCCAGTCAATAAGAAAAAGTGATCAAAGTTCTGTCTGAAGCATGTCAGACCAAATGGAACAACCTGTTGAGCTAGAAAGAACTGCATATAAATCCTTCTTTGTAACAAAACCCATTTAACATGCTTTGGTTCTACTCTCCTCAGGATCCAAGTCCAGATTCTATTCAACTTTTGAAAGCTTTTAAGGCAGTGAATGTCCAGAAATAAATTGCTTGTGCTGCTATACAAAATCAAGACATTACATAAAATCAATTTGTGTCAACAAATGCTACGGAAAACACGTCTCCTTTTCATGTTAATCAGAACTGAACAAAAAATATCAGTTGTTTAAATGAGGTAAAAATGACTGGAAGTAATAGCCTTAATCCAATTATATGAATTTAGGAAAAATTAAATGTGCAGCAGCAATAGAAAAAACACTTCAAAAGAAACTGCCAGGGCTAATAAACGTTAGGGGCCATATGCCAGAATGAAGAACTTCAGTGCTGAAAATTCTGCAGATCCCTGAAATGCACTTGATTTGTGTTTAGTGTCAGGTGCCATTACTCAACTACCACAATTAGCCAATATCAACAGATAAAATCATCAGAACTCATGAGAATTAACTGACAGGCGACATGTAGGGACAGCATGCAAGTGGTGGTAAGTCTGGCATATTCACATTCTACATGTGCAAATATTGCCTATTAATAAAAATGTACAGATATTTTATATAGTTGCAATATATCTAACAGTGATCTTCTGAATCCATTTCTTTTTTTTTAATTCTGAAAGGACACAAATTCAAAGCTCCTAATTTAAAAAAAAGAGCCAGTTATATTAATTGTTGTTATCGGAAATTTTGAAGTTACTGTAACAAAACAACTTCTACACAGAAAGCCACTGTGCAGTACAGTTCATCAGAAATATAACCCAATCCTTTTGAAATAAAAGGCAAAAGTGCTACTGATGCATTAAGACCAGAATTTTACCATTAAAATGTGAACTTATGCTTTCTTGTTTGGACTTACACCATCCCCACGTTGGGTCATTAGGAACCTCGCTCGTCTGAGCACAGGTTTGTGTGACTGTTTGCAGACAGACAAACCCAGCTTTGTCCCAACGCCGAGCTGGGACGGCAGAGCACGAGAGCCACGTGATCTTGCCAGCACGGCGCTGGGTTTGAGCTGTGCCCAGGCTGTAGCCTGATCAAGCAACAGCCCCAAACAGCATGGCCGCAGCATCGCCTTCACTTCACAACCTCGTGTTGAAAGCAGCTTGCTGCCAACAGGCCAGCTGACACACAGGCACAAGAACTTGAGATTTCCCTGTAAAAAGGAAAGGCTCTGCCATGGCCCTTGTCTAAAGAAGCATCGCGGCCATGGAGAAGGCAGAGTCCCTTGTTCTGGCATGGGCCAATACCACGCAGGGCACTGAACCAGTCTCTAGGGTGAAGCTGGGAGCTTGCTGGCATTGCAGCATCTCAAGGACAACTGCCTGTGTAATGACAAAAAACCTCATCAGCTGCGAAATTATCTAAATGTTTTGCACCTTCCAGTAACAGTTGCCTTCTGTTGCTTGGTCACAACAGAAGCATGCTATCTCTGTAAGGCTCTTTGCTCAGTTAGCAAAGACGACATAAACACCCCCAAATTATGCTAAAGCTCAGAAATTAGGGTAAGATTCGAGTTGGACTGACAAGGAAGTAAGATTGATACTTGCAAATGATACTTGACAGTGGCCACTGTTTCTGTATGCTTCTGACCTCTTTCTGAAGGAAAAAAAAATCACCTAATGGACAGGAATTACACACCATGTGGGTTTTCCCCCCCGAGAGATGCTATAATGTGACAGGCGGCAATAGATGAGATTTTGCAAAATAGCAAGACCATGGATGTGAAACTCTGGAAAATTAGGATAAATTTTTGGCCATAGCCTTGAATTTTAGATTTTTATCCAAATTTTCTTTTAAATTTTGAACTAGATAGATTCAAACGTCAAGGGACTGAGACACAAACTTTCAGACAAAGTCAAATGACAAATTAGGCACAAACTGATGGGAATGTGAGGGACCACTCAAACAAGCTACTGAAGTAAGTAACAGATTTTTTCATCCCTTGATGCTTTTCCAGAAGACACTTTGCTCAGACACCAGTTACTAGCCTTGATGGCAAATTGGACAAAAATCTGTGACCTGTAACAAACAGAAGATCAGAGTAGATGGCCAAAACCCTTCTGCTAGCCTTACGGTGTAAGAAGACATAATACACAGAACTGCTTTTGTGCCAAGTAACATGCAAAAAAAGCCATCATCCTCCAGGTCATTAGAGAGCCATGGATTTTCCACACTATTTTAGCCAACAGAAAATTCCTAAAAATTACCTCTGGAATGCAAAGAAATTCTTTGTTCGCAAGCATAAAATGCATACTTTTCCAACAGAACTATAGGAGGTAATTTAATCATGGCAAATCTATGGGGAAGTTTTTCTAAATACCACCCTGTGGACAATAAACACCCATTAAATCCTGTTGTTAACGTGAAAGCTAATTACACTGTTTCATTTGTTTTTACTACCAACGACTTGGCGCGTGTGTCAATAAACAGCACATTAGGTCTCTTCTGTTCCGTATAAAGTATGTTTTCTTGATTCAGCCATATACATACAAATGAGCCAAACAAAACAGCATACTTACTAGTTATTTGTTTGTAGGCACTTCTAACTTAGTGCACCTTCGCCCTTCTCTATCTTTCATCTCTAACACTCGTTAAGCTGCAGTACAATATAAATACCACATTGTGTTAACAGCACTGAACTTTGGGAACAACCTCCAAATCTGCCTCCTATAAAAACCAAATACTTCAGTGCATCTTCACTGAACTCTGAAAGTTATGCTGCACTTCAGATTGAAATGTAAAGCCAGGTTAGCATTTTCTGCTGTTTGCTGCTAATGTATAATTAGTTCAAATGATGCTTGAAACCTGAAAGAAACTGTGCAGCAATTCATGGACCAGCCAAGCAGGGAGAGCTGAGCGCTGCTGTTGTGGTTGCTTCAGACCTTGCCATCTAACCAGCCCTTTTGACTGAACAATCAACACATGCAGGTCCCTTCGGTCACCCAACTGCTAGATCATTTTTGTAAAGATGATACAGAACAAGAGCTTATTACTAGTTTGGGCAAAACTCAAACTGCCTTCTGACTTTGAAACCAAAACCCAAACTATCCTTGGTTTCAATTTCAGTTTCACAGCTTCAAAGAGTGAATGGAAGAGAAATTTCCTGGCTCTACAGGATACCCGACATAGCAAGTAAGGTACTGTCTGGGTCAACGTATGGTTAAGCGAGTCTGAAGGTTTTGATAGTTCATTCAAACTTACTTCAGTAAATGTATTTGGAGGAAAAGGGAAGATTCTGTGAAAGTTCCTTTGACATTGGTTAGAGGATTTCAGCCGAATTAATCTCTCCCTATAAACACTGAAGTCACCTGTTCCTTTTCCAGGCATCAGAGTAACCAAAAAAAGGACTTGAACTTTAAAATTAACAGCCTCTGTGGTGGGAGAGAAACAATACTACTGTATCCCTACCAAGCTATTTTTATGTAATACAGGCACACGTGCTTCCTGTGTCTGGTTTGGACAAAAAGGGAGTAATAAAAGCCTTGGGGCTGCCGTTGTAAAATCCTCTTTCAGAAACCTTCAAAATCTCCCTCTTTTAGCCTACGGTTTCAAAGTCAGAGCTGTGAAAGGATCTGTCTTACACTGGCCTTGAGACATCCGATAGACCACAGATGGCACGGGGATCATGAGAAAGTAAGTCTTTAGCACCACTACCATAGACTGGAATTTTATCAGAATAGTTGATCTCTCTAGTATTTTGGCCCATGAGAATCCAAAACAGAAAGCACCTCTTCCACAAGTGTGGGCTGATTCATCTGACAGGCTGCCTCCAGCAGTGACCTGTGCCAGCTCACTCCAGGACAAGAATCTTGAGACTCAGGACAGCTGTAGGATTCATAAATGCACACAGTGCAACATAGGACTTTGGGGCTTACAAAAATGAAGCATCAAAATTTCCATAAAGGTCAGAAAAATATCTTTCTTCTATGTATACAAAGACTTTATTATAGTTTTATCTATCACCATGACAGATTATTTTATTCAAACGCTCCTCTACATGTATGTTAAATAAACACTGATCGCCATAATTATTTCTTTTTGGAAATCAAACAGTCCCAGCTACACAGGAAGATGCGGTCAAACAGGGGAACTCTTCTTTTCAGCCGAACCCAGCACAAATGCTAAACGTTAAATGCTTCATTTCTCCAGGAAGTTTCTCTTGGATGACTACACCCAAGTGAAACTGCGAGAAGTTTTCTTTTCTTTTTTTGCAAGGAACTAAGTGAACATTTGAACCTAATGTTTCGTTATCCTTCCGCACCAAAAGCAAGTTTGGAAAGTTGACTGAAGGTCCAAAGGAGTATCTTAAAAAAAAAAAAGGAAAAAAAAAGAAAAAACCCAAAACAAACAAACCAAACCAACAACAACAACAACAAAATCAATTAATCCCTCCACAACTGGAACCACCACTGCCCTCTACAGTCTTTTGGGAAAACACTGTTCACTGAGCAACGCAAAATGAGAGCTATTCTGTTAAGAGACAGACACACAGATGCGTGCCACACACACTGTGGCTTTAAACTATCCTAAGTTAAAAACTGATTTAAACCTAGAACTTTTGGCTTTTTCAACTGCCTCAAACCTGTATTTTATGAAGCAGGCTAGGTTATCACAGTGATAGACAAATCAAAATTTGTCTCTGTGCAGAACTGCCTACAACTGCGCAGTGGAAGGCACCCCTGCTTGGTCTCCACGTGAAGCACTTTGCTGGACCCAGAGCAGATACGTCCACCGACACGTAAAGATGGCCACATACACTGGGGTCAGTGCCGAACATCTAGACCCAGCAGGAGCTGAATGAGGAGGCGGAAATCAACAGTTACCATGACGTACAACTCCGCAAGGCATCTAGGAAATGAGAAGTCAAAACATGACCCTAAATGAGGGGGAAAAAAAAAAAAATCCAGCAACAAGCAGGAACAGCAGTACATTACAGTAAGTCCTCTTTGGAAATCTGAGAAGTGGGAGAGGACGGGGGGAAAAAACCAGAAAACAGTTGGAATAATGCATTCTTTCTACTATTCAAAAGCAGACATATAATGGGTGGTATCTTGCCATAAGACTAGAACATTTTCTACATGACAGGAAAGACGGAACATCCTCTGTCAAAGTAGCAGCAGGCAACTTCCATATTAGGTCAATAATTCTGGGTTGTTATTCAAGCCTAGCAAGAGAGATGTAACAAGAGCCAGAAGCTGGCACAGTCCTATTCATCAGAGTAGGCGCTGCAATGCCAGGCGGAACAATATAGTGGAGGCTCAGAAAGAAACATTCCCAGAGTCAACACAACATAAGTCTGCAGCCCCACTTTTTGATCTGTGGACTCTTGGGAACAAAGCACAATTCAGCCAGCCTGGGACAGATTTCAGAAGTCGCTTTTTATTTTGAAGGCCTGTTTTTGCATATACAAATTATTTGGAAAAGAAATACGGGATGGCAGAAATATGGAAATATCTATTTTGATGCACAGTGCAGACAGGGAGATATTTAGCTGTCTGATTCCAAGACACATTTGCTTGTTTTCAATAAGCTTAACTATTCAGTTGTTTAAGCCCAACTTTTTGGGTATGCAGAAAAAAACTGAGCAAAATGATTGTGCTCCTGGGTTTCAAGTGAGTAAAAGCACAGCCCTTCTAGTCCAGGTACATGCCATGCCCAAAGGAGCAAGTCAAGGAACACCCAGAGACACTTACTAGCTTTCTAAGTTCAAATGCCAAAGCCCCAGGGGTTCGGTTTTGCAAGTCAAGCTCTCAGCATGCATCTCCACTAGCAGACTGCTCGTTCAGCATTTCCATTATACAGCCTAACAGGTTGAGATCTTAAAACCAATAATTTCCTCTGAACTAAAAACTTGGCAAAAAAATCTTTGGTCAGACCAGAAGCAGATTTTGTTTTAGAAATAGATTAAGTTTACAGTGGAAAGAAGAAATACTTATAAACCCCCCACACACTATAAAGCAATGGCTTTATCAAGGCCAGATTAGCTTCTGCAGTTACTGGCTCAGAACTCAGGAGGCCCCAAAAGCATCTCTGCTCAGTTACACAGTGACGAACCTCCACTATACTCCTAGGGTGACCATCTGCTAAAAGGTCCAGTGACAGATTTTTGAAAATATTAATTCAAAGACAGGATGATTTAATTTCCCTCTTAAGAGAAGGGGTTGGATCTGTCCCCATACTTGGGGGTATTCCACCAGATCTTAACTGAGTATCAGGAACCCTTCCCACTCAAGCCTACTAGGAAATAATTTTGCCAGCTTTCATAGGCCATAAGAGTAGACACAGCTCAAGGAGAAGATGCCCAGGACTATGAAATGGTACGATCACAATGAACACAGACACACAATTTTCTCTTTGGCTTAGGAATCAGGCCAACCTTCCTCCAATATCAGGGCAGCTGGTCTGGTGCTGGAAGCTCTGTGCTAGTTTAAGGCAGCCTGGACTGAGATCAATGGGCTTGTCTAATGACATAACAGATAAGTGACATTTCTTCCCCCGTGCAGCCAGGCCCTGGAAGCATCACAGGATAATGACACAGAGAAACAGCTATGCTGTGAGATCTCATGATGCAGAAAAATCCTGTTACTGTTACAGAGAAACAAATGTAGCTAGAAACAGGCTACAGCAAAAAGCAACGCTTGAATTCTTTCAAAACCATGTACGTGAGCATCTGGAAAGGCACATACTTTACATTAGTGTTGGTGCAGATGATGTATTCAATCTCATCGGAATAAGGATTCTGAAATGTGAAGCTGCTGGTTCTGATCAGCATCCATTCCCGGTTTTTGGTACGAAAACGATACATCACAGACAGGACTTGACCTTTCAGTTTCACAACCTGCAAAACCATTTGGACAGGTTAATAAAAGGATATTGTTACCTGCTGTGCAAATGAACAGTAAACAGCAGTAATTAGTGTTTTAAACTTGAATTACAGAAACCTATGAACACAACAGGGAGATTCTTAATTTGAAGAGAATAAGCAAAATCTGATTCATGTTTGCAGCTATTTCCTTCAGAATGAAACCCTCATGCTTTGTTGTATAAAATGCCATTGTCCAGCCTGCATATAAGAAGAATAGTTTCAGGACAACCAACAGGTTGTGCTGTTATCACAACAGCGAAGCTTTAAGAAGGCTTTAATGTGGAATGCATGTTGAGAGATTGACAGAAACCAAACTGAGGATCTTCTAAATGTTCGTATGTAAACCATAAACCAAACATTGCAGCCGAAACAAAAGCCCACAGGAAAAAAACATTTTGAGGTTGACTATCTGCTTTTCTGCTTGGATACCTAGCTATACAATTCATGTATGTGATATACGAAATCACACATCAGCATCAAAACTTAGGATAATACTTAAGATTATTAAGATTATTTATTTTTTATTAGCTATCTGCAGCCTGTATTCTCTAAAAGTAGAAATCCCAGTATTTACCCTCTGTCTTTATCAACAAGCAATTGGCTTAGGAAAAATGCTGCCTCCAATCCTGTCTTTTCCAAAGGTCTGTATTTGAAATCGATCAATTGGATACAGGATTAAATGGAAAGAATGGAAACAGAAGACATAAAAAGCTTTAGCAATGCCCAGGAAAGTTCAAAGTAATACTGATGTAAATGCCTTTTGGGTTTGGGGTTTTTTTTTTGTTTTTAAATGCTTTTGTAGTTTGAATTCAATGAGCCACATTCTTTTATCAGCAATTTTCTACTACCACACCCAAGGTAAAAAACACAGAGCTTGCGTAAAAGCGTCCAATCTGAACAGCATCCTACTGGATATCAAATAGCTGTATTCTGGATCCTTTGATACTAAACTCTATTTGTTGATCTTGGCCTTGAGACTATCTTATTCTGGCCTGATTTTCCCACCCTGATGAATGAATTTATCTTCCCAAGGAAGTAAAAGCTTTGAGATGGATACTGGCAATTGACCAAAAACTGCAAAACCCTCCCTCCCTCCTGTGTCATGCATCAACCTGGTTCTGATACTGTCAGCAAATTAGAAATGTCAAGTTTTCAGAGGGTTTTGGAAAAACAGAGAGTTTATTGGAAATCACAGTTACCTTTTTAATGAAAAGATTTCTAAGGCCAAACTAACAATAATACAATAAACTGCAGTGATCTATTGTCCTGAAGTCTGAATTAAGCAAACACTAATTCTGTAATAATATATAAAGCATAGAGATCACTGGTGGGAAAATCCTGAACTGTCTTAAAACAGTGCACACAAACAAGATAGCGCAAAAAATTTCAAAGCTGATGTTTAACCTTTACTTTCTTACATTCTTTGGAAATAAAAACCACCTGGTGCGTAGCTTAACTGTTTACTTCAGTCTTTTATTGCGTGATTGAAACAACAGCCCAAATCTCATTGCCACTGTACTGAACAAAAATATACTGAAAAAGGAATTGCCTATTAAAGAAACAGCAGAATATTTTCATAGATTCGACACAGGTCGAGTGAACAGGAACTTTCACTTCTACTCTGCATTTTTTCCTGCTGTCTTTTTGTATGACCTTAAGCAAACCGCGTAGGTCCCTGATCCAGTAAATCATTTATGCACATGCCTAAGAGCGAGTAGTGACAGCGAAGTCCCCAGCAACTGAGTTCAGGGATATACCAGCAGCCGCCCACGGCCTGATCTCACTCTCGGTGAACACAGTGAGGACCAAGTCATTAAGTTGAATGTTAGTCAGTCAGCCCTTCTGAGCCCCAGGCGATCACTTCAGAGATGGATGTCTGACGTGTTATTATCCAGCAGCGCTGTCATTGTGTCTTGGATAAATTAGAGGAATCAATCATTTGGGCATTAGGCAAAAACAGCATATGCATTCTTGCTGCTCTTCTTGTGCTACTGACACGATCAGGTACAAGTTCAGGGAGCTGAACGAGCTGAAAGCTAGTCCCACACAAAAGCGATTAGTCCCTTAGCTAGCCTACCTGGCAAGACCATCTGTGAAGGTACCAGGACAGTAGGAAGGGTGAGGAGGTGGTCAGGGAGACAGAAGAAGTGGGAGTAGGACCTGACTCCTGGTGACAGCTAACCATCAGGTAGGTTCAGCTGCAGCATCACACCCCCAACCAAGGTGGGGCAGAGAAGATGACTGGGTGTGGTGATCTATTTCACGCAGCTAACTCTCACAAACTCCTGCCTGTGAATCAGTATCTTGAATTTAAAAGGTGTTTAGCTGCTGTGTGAACTCAGTCCATTCAAGGGACACTGAAGTGGACGCAGAGTGCTCACACAGTCTTTTCTGCTAGCTCAGAAGTGGGGCTGGTAGCCTCTGCTTGAGGGAGGGGGTCGTGAGACATAGCTCAAGAGTACCGATATCTTACACTATCTCAGACACTTCTGTAGAGACCATAACCTCAGTTTCACAATCTATTGTATGGAAACAAACAGCATTTAGTTGTTGTTTTCCCCAGAGAGGCTTTTCAAGCTCCATTTTGGTATGCTGTGCCTGAATAAATAGTTGGCTATACAAATTATTTTAGAAGTCACTTCATATCCATATTTCACAGCTGAAAATACATCTCGGCATCCAACGCAAGATGGATCAATGAAGCTTGGTTGAGCTATAGGCTGTTGTCAGAAAATCTGGAACCACTTAGATCATCTGAGCCTCAGTAATCGGTTAAACACACTACACCATGCTTTCTAGTCCAGTAGGGAAGGTGTGCTGAAAAGACCAGCAACAAGCAGAAGGCTTGGGGAAAGCACTCCTACTGTATGTCCCAGATTAATTTGAAACAATAAGCTGTACAATGGAATAAATGCCTTTGATATAGCTGATGTAAATGTGGCCTACTATAAAAATGAATCCAGAGCAGTAACTCTTTCCATACGTTCTATTTCTTTTGTTACTTCAGTCTGCATTTCAATTCCTAATAGGGAGAAAGGCCAAATTCTCTATTGATGTAAAGTGGTGTAACTCCGTTAAAGTGTGAAGCATGTCATCTATGCTGGCAGAGAATTTAGATCGTAAACGATCCAGCATTACAGAGGAGCATAACTACTTTCAAATCAACAGTCCACATTGGAAGGTGAATACTTCTGATTATAGTGGGATCTACACAGGCGTCTCCAAATCAGCTCTAACTGAACAGTGAACACTCATTTAATTTTTTGTTAAAAGAAAACGAAATGTATAATTAGGTGACTTATTTCTGAAAACACAGCAGATGCTGCAGTTTAAACTACTGTTTATGCAGCTTAACTGATTAGTAACTGATAAACAAATTGTTTCATATCTTGCTACTCCTTCTGCACAATGTGAAAAATAAAAGCTACTTCTCTGAACAAAATAATAACAAAAATAATAAATAAATGGCAGAAGAAAAGAAGCAGGATGCAGGACCTGTTGGAAACTCTCCCTCAAATGGCTTTGATCTTCAGGATGGCAGAATTCTAAAATATCTTTCCCCAGAAGATCCTAGAATAAAACATAAAGCTGTGTAAAAAACCCAGACCACAACACAAATCCACATGCAGATCTGCAAGTACCTTGCAGACACTAGATCTACCACCCTTAATGGTACTACGCAGTTAATTGGGAATGAATCAGAAAGACAAGGTTTGTAGGCATCATGTCCCACATTATATTTGTACTGTTGCATAGATACATGTATTTACAAACAAATTTTAAGTGATTTTTTTAATATCTGTGAAATGGTGTCTTGGTAAGACTGACATCCTCTACTACAGCTCATTTTATGGTACTAATTTTTGTAAAACCAGTTAATAATAACTACACCTAATAAAGCTACCTAAAATCAAAATAAATAGGAAAAACAAACGAACAAGAAATTATGTTTGCCTCTAAATTGCAACAGCTATGAGTTATCCAAGGGAGAGTTGTGGTAGTCAGGAGTTCATTTATTATTCTACTCAGCTCTGTGACTAGCCTCCTATTCAGACGAGCAGATGTAAGCCTAAAGGAAAATAGATGCCATAAATGATGTTTGCTTACTGTTCAATAGATTGGCAGAAGTAAAGATCTACAGGACTATAACTGTCTCCAAGCACTGTTAACTTTCTATCACAGAAATGTCTTCACTGGAAAGCTGTGCAAGGTTTAAAGCATCTTGCTGTTAGAATTCTAATTGGATCTAAAAGGTATAAAAAAGATACCCCACATAACAAAAGGGGAAAACTAAATTTTACAGAGGCGTGGGCATTAAAGAAAAATGAACAGCATTTAGTGCACAACATACAACTTATCAGCTACAAATATTTCTTGCTCTCCTGCTTTTGTTTTTAATGCAGAAATAGAATTTTCTTCATTAGCTCTAACCAGTCTCCACATTTACAGCAAGTCACTGACCTGGGGCTGGTAGCCAATGACGCTGATGCACCTTGGGTCAACAAAGGTGATGACTCCATCAGAGTTGTGCCTAGACAAGAACTCAGTTGGGACCGACATGCCATTCATGTCCATGCACACCGGAGAGCTGGTTACCTATGACCAATAAAGTCCACAGTATTTAGTCCACAGAACAGTTACCTTAAGTCAAATTTGATTACGTAGCTAAAGAACAAAATCTGTTGGCCGAGTGCTAATTGCTGAAGGAAGCCATAAATAAAACACCACCACAGATACATGACACAGAATAGCCTTTAGTCTAGTTTGCAGGGCAAGTATCTCACCCCATGGCACCTACCTAGGCTTAACAGCACAGCAGAAAAACAAATACATCAGAAGTTCCCAAGGAGGATGGATATAGTAAGGATGTAAGTACAGCTGAATTCATCTCACTTTGTGGCACCACATTAAAGTTAGGCATCTTGGTTCCTACCTTTGTCAACCAAGAATTAGACTTGCAGAGGACAATTCAGTCCACCCATTTATGATAGGAAGGTCAATCTCTAGAAGAGGCCAACTCATTATCTGTAGACATATCCAATAGGACCAGCTCAGACTAAACACTCCACTTTCAGGTGAGATGAACCTCACCTGAAACACCCAGAGAACCTGAACGAAGTTCTCCAGAGGGTGAAGTAGGTGATATTAGGCCAGCAAGTGCCTGCTCATAATGAAAAAACACAGTCCTCCTATAAATGCTCCTCAAACCTCATCAGAGAGAATTATGCATTTCCAGCTCTATGCCTGAAACCTGTGCAATCAGGCCACTTCATATCCATTCATTCCTACTGGGCCTACAAATGAGACCACTGTTTTTCTTACAACTTCCAGAGCTATCTCCGTTAATAAGGTCCCAATGCAAAAAGAGAAAAATCTCATTTTTTTGTTGTTTTGGAGCAGATTAGCCAGTTAACTGTATGCAAGATTTCAATTTGCTGTTACAGAACAGAGTTTTTAATTTGTGCACCTTGACTCCTTTGCGATTAAATCCATCCACAGAGCCTCCTCTTGCCCTCCCTCACATACATCCTGCTGGCTCTTCTAATGTAACAGATGTTTTGACACTCCATGTTACTAATGTGGTTTTCTCGGAAATCATCTTTCTTTGGCAGCTGTAACATATGAATCCCCAAAACCTCCTTCTCTCCATTAGTGGAATATATTACCCTTTATTATAAAAGCATGATTAACCTAAAAAACATCATGCAATACTGCTGTAGCTCTGCCATAGCAATGGAGACACACTCTGCAGAAGTGCTAACACTTGCAGTAACATACAGGCTGCTCACCTCAAATAAGATGGGTTTGGCACCTGTGCTCTAATGAAAGGGTCATTCTCCCTTGTAAGGAGGAGAGATGCCATCCTAGCAGATGGCAACAAGTGCAGGCCAACAGGAGATCATGCAGGAGGCTCAAACACGTTCACCCATGGCAGAATTCCCAGACTGGGAAGATAAAAATTAGCCTCCCTGCTGCGGTGAAGGAGACTCACCACAATTACTCTAGCTCCTGCTCAGAACTCTCATCAGCAATGGACAAAGGAAGAAAATGTTAAAACGTCAATTACAACTGTCTGGACAAAAAGGAAGAAAAATTTTATTCTCACAGTTCCCTTGGCTGACATCACATCTGAATGCACACTACAATACACACTGAGAATGAAGCTATTATTTGTGAAGTGCCTCTTGACTGCCTTATCTTTATCATTTTCAGAGTAACTCCTGCAATCACAGTTTCTCAAGTAGTTGATTAGTCAGAGAGAGAAAGAGAACAAATGAAAGAATAGCGGGCAGCATATCACTGGCTTTGGGAGCCACTTTAACCAGAACAGCAGGTCTGTACACGCTTGTGCTCCAGGAGCATCTTTGCCTCTGCTGTTGGGTTAAATACGTGTATGCACCAAAATCACATTTTCATTTTGCTTTGTTGACATGTTCTAAACAAGTCCTGCTCATGGCAGAGGGGTTGGAACTAGATGATCTTTAAGGTCCCTTCCAACCCAGACCATTCTATGACTCCGTAAGTTACCAGCTGCACACCGACATCAAGGCACTTTGTATTTTGTAGATGTGTTAGAAGTTATAGTCTAGTATCAGAACTTTGTGTAAATCCTTTACACCACAACACTGATTACGCTTTCAGAAGTAGTTTGTATAAGGAAAGACTGGCATTACCTGAAGCCTTCCTATTGCCACGAGGCAATATTTACTACCTTGTCCCACATCAGCATCTTCTTCTGGTATAGTCATTCCTAAAGTAAATGATAACAAATACTGTTATAATTAGTAAATTGGAATGAGCAGAGACGCTGCTGGCCTGGTTCTATACTATTCTAGATGCTCTAAAGCATACAAAATAACCTTATTGCCTTATTAATGCATTATCTCTGGGTTCAGATCAGATGATCTTTCTCAGTCATGCTCGATCCTACATACCCCACACACGTGTACGCAGTACCCACAGCAGCTATTTTGGCTGCCAAAGACGAAGCAGATACAAACATTCCGTTATACACCGAACTGGACAATAACATTTCCATGAGTATTTCTCCACAGTATGTTACTGGAACCGCGTGGTCACTTAATATGTTCAGTGAATGTGCACTATGTTCAGTTTTCTTTGTGAATAAGATATCATAATGAGCCTTAAAAACAAGGCACAGCCTAGATTTTTCATTAACTTCGTGCTCATATTTAACAGCTGGTTTTACTTTTTTCTATAATGGACTAAATCTGGGTCATTATGTTGAAAGACTGAAAAAATGCGGATGCTTTGCTAACAGTGCTTGTTTCAGTTGTGTAACAGGAGTAACTATTATAAACACAGGAATAATTTCAAAACATACATGTGTACTGATTTCCACCTCAGTGTTTCACAAATAGGACCATTCAGATTAGCTCCGTTTACTTGCTAGTTGGCTAGGCCATTAGTTAAGGCTATTTCCCAACTCCAGTGTTGAGATACCAATTTCCTGTGATGAACTTGAAAAAACACCTTCCAAGAGTGACACTGCTGACTTATTTTAAGTGATTTGTAAATTCTTTCATAAGGCTTTTCAAGGAATTCAGTCCCAACAGGCAGTGAATAATTTAAGAAGCATTTTAAAGCATTAGTGAAATTAATTGCAAAGCAGCTACCAATTATGAAACATCAGCCACTTTATTCTCAAAATTTGTAATTCCCAAGGTAAGTCAATCTTTGGACTGTGCAGAGGATGACAGCATACAACTTTCTTAAATTACGCCTCTGAAAAATAACTGTAAGTGCTGCTGAATGAACTGAAGTAGTCTCTGAAGGAAGTTATTTTGTATCAAAATAATTTAATCTTATCTGACAATCAGTTTCTAAATAGCACTCTACAGGTATTTTTCAGTTTCCATTGAGCTAGATAATAAAATAAAATACACAAAGTATGAAAGAAAAAACTCCGTATTTTTGTATAATATATTCAAACTTTATTTGCAATGGAATTACAGTTTTGGAGGCCTAACTTCATTTGCAGCCCCCGACAGATAACTAGGATTTTATCAGGGGATCTCAAGCTTTACAAGGAGGAGCATTATTGTCCCTTTTAACAAGTGGGAAATTGAGGTGCAGTACGAATTTCAATGTCACACACTGCAAGAGGTGGGCAAAACTCCCTTGTCTTCTACACAATGATCTTACTATCCAGAGATACAGATTTGGCCCTAAATAACTCCTTAGTTTCTAAACCTACATGATATCCCTCACCAAATGCTGGGAGACTCCTCTGAAATGTTTTCTTAGAAGCTGCATGAGAAGATCAAGGCGGCAGTATGTGACCTTACGAGGACATTTTAAGAAATCAATCATTAAACACATAAGTTAAAAATAACATTGGAAGGAATCGACACATGTTATCTTTCAATTAAGCATTATTTTGTGCTTCCAATAAAGGTTCCTCTGCGGGTTACTAGGGACCCAAACTTTCACTCAAGATCCTTCACCTGATTTAGAACATCCTTGGAATGAAGACAACCTGCATTTATCCTCCCTGCAGGACTGTTCTGCACTGCCTGCAGTTTATCAGTTTACGCTTCAAGCAGTTAAATTACAAAGCACTGTTTTGGTATTTCACACACCGCTGTTCCTGCCTCTTTTCTGTTATACACCAGGCAAACTACAAACAAGAGCCCAAACACAAATAAGTCCCATGCTCTCAGACACCAGCATACCATGGAGAGCATAAACCACTGACATGGAACTACAGTTAAGAGATCATATTATAGAATTATTTTGTTTTCCTTCCTTGCTGTTTTTACACACAGTTATTTCTTCAACACAAGACTTAGTAAGTAGCTAATGACAGCTCCAATAGGCAAAGGAACTGAATTTGGCTGCCTCTTGAGAAAAAGAGGGAAAATTACCCTGAAAAAGCAGCAGCAAACATATCTACTCAAAACTCTGTCCACTTTAGACAAAATTTTGGCAGACACATGGCTGCTATCTGCTCACATACATGTGGGGTACCCGGAAGGGTGAGCTCCCATAACTAAACCTAGACTCCTCTGCATGAGCAATTTTAATTTTAAATAGGTAGAAAATGGTTGAGGGAGAATTGCGTGCAGTTTGCAGGGGATGATAACTGGAATTCAGCAGTCTCACCTTATAAAGCGGTGACTCGACACGTGAACTGAGAGCAGGACAAATTAAATGATGCAGCAGTTTAGGATGAAGCATGAGGATGCTGACTCGGCTGCAGTGTACAAAAACAACCACGGGAGGAAAGAAGGCATTGGAGCAACAGAAGAGTTGACCTAACGCTTTGGCTGGAGGACGGCAGCAGGGACTGCATCCCTGCGGGAGATGGATGAGGAGTCTCTCACTCCTCAGTCCTCAACTCTGCACCAGGGCAAATCTGCAAGTTCAACCGTGAGCCGAAAGAACAAACATTTTAAAAGCTGGTGCCTGAAGCAATCGTGGTCACATTCAGACAGCTTGGTACAGGTGGTCTGATTTCAAAGATGGTGACTGATTCTAGGCCCTACCACCTTCAGAGCATTTTCTTGGTGGATGCCTGGTACTTCTGAGAATTAAGCCACTTAAACACTGGGGCCCAAGTGCTGTTTTACAGAAATAACTCTAGGTGTTCTAGTTGGATGACCTTAACCAAAAGGTCCCTTTAAAATGGAGTTTTCCATCTGAGAAGGATGAATTTAAAGCATTTTCCCTTGACTTCAAAAGCTTTTTCAATCGTTTCCTTAGCAGCGCAGTGTATTGCAAAGGACAGCAAAGATACTCAGCTGGATGGCTTCCATTTCGCATAATCTTTTTTCTGCAACACTTTCCTTTCTAGGAACTTGGTCCATGCTTGCTACAGCCCAAATAAACTCAAAGCAACATAAACAATCTCCAAAATTAAACCTAGCTAAGAAACACCATTTCTGATGTCACTCTGTTGGCAAGGGAGGCTGTTGTTCTAATTTTCACCTTTTTTTTTTTTTTTTTTTGCAAGATGCATTACATTTGGCCTGTATAACACACTGAAAAATGTATTAGTTGGGTTATCGCACAAGACAGCCTATGAAAAAAACCCAATCTACCTGGAATTAATCAATACATGACCCAGTGAATTGCTAACCCTTCCCTAAAAGTGCCTAGAGTAAAAATACGCCAAAGTGATTGTCTGCTCGTCTGCAGTGTAGGTGCTGTTACTGACAGCATTCCATAAAGGGAAATTGGTTTCTTCACTCTCTTGTTGACAGTTACAAAGTTTCAACCAGGGGTGGGCTTATATATGACATGCATTGGTAGAGAGATTTACTTTTGCTTTAGCATACTTCCTATTGAACATACTCCAATATGGACAGGTAAATAAAGATATGTGTACTGCACTTAATACCGGTTTGTCCATCTCTTAACGTAACATAATATTGCTCTTTAACATCACTAAGTACTGTCAGTATTTCCAAAAAAAGTTGCAAAAACCTCCAGGAAAGCAGCTATGAAACTGATCTTTAGGAGGCATCAACAAACTAAACATACATACATTATTCACATTCTTTACATGTAACTCTGAGAAAGGCTTTATTTCTCAAGACCAAGTATATGCTCCTCTTGAATAATAAATATAGTGCCATGCTTATTCAAGTTAATATCAACAATTTGCAAAGCTAAGCCTGCAACTGAGCATCACAAATAGAATGCTGGGCCATTACAGGTTATATTTAATTTCCAAGTGTCCTTTATGCCACCAACAGTTTCCCACAGGGTAACGGCATGCGTTTGTGTGGACATAAGGAACTTTTTAGTTTTCCCAGTGAGCTTCCAGTTGGTGCTAACAACAGAACAGCTTCATTTTCTGCCTTCTTTCTCTATCCTTCTGCCTCATATTTTCTGCAAGACACAGAACAGTGTTAGTGGATTTGTGGTTTTAGTTCACTACACTCAAAACCAAATAATTTATGATTCTTTAGAAGGATGTAATTTAAGTGTCCAGTGGTCCTAGCAATCCCCTATTAATGCCTATCTCCATCAGAACCATTTCTGATAGATGCGCTGCATGAAACTGCACTGTGTGACGTTACCTCCTATACACAACAATGGAAAAAGGCTTTCACAATAAAAGGCTGTGGATGTTTACAGCATACCAAGGAAAAATCCCATGAAAAATCCCAACAAAAACTAATTTTTTTTTTTTTAAAAAGCACTTAAAAATGACAGCACTGCAAAGAACATTCAAGCAACTATTTTGTTTTGTATTGGAAGAGGGAGTACTTTGCACAAACATCCAGATTCTGGCCAAAACTTTAAAATAACCTAACAGCTTTGGCATGCTGTGGTTAAGACATTACCGTAAGCCTGACTTGGAAGACTAAAATGTTTCTTTTTTAAGATAAAAAACTAAGGAGAAAAAAAAAGATTTCAACATTATTCGAATTTAACATTATTCTGGGACTTTTTATTTGAAGTTTTTGAAATAAGTATCTATCTAAGCCTTTTCTTCACTACGTGCTTTTCTGCAGGTCCTGGCTTTGATTTACAGAAAACTAGCAACATCCTGACAGACTGTATCTTCTCTCCACCAAATATTTTCCATCAATTGTTACGGCATGAAAAAAACTATTAGGAAAATATCATATGGACCACATAAGATTCATTTCCTTCCAGGAATGAGATGCTCAGACAGGAAAAAAAAATAGAAGAAAAGCAAATGCTTGCTTAAGTTGAAAACTGAATATCAGGAGAAGGTCAGCATTTCTCAGTTTTGTGAGTGGTTATGAACTTGAAGCACTGTCTCGGCTAAGGAGCACAAGCTGCTTCACCAGGAACAGGGGGACAAAGGCTGGAATTAGTGCTCAGCCAGTTTCAAACAAGGGGTCTTTTTACCTCATCCAAAATAATGCAACACTGCACTGTCATTATTTAATCTAGTATACACTCCACATAAGAAATGAACAACTTAACCGATTGGAACATTGATCTGGAATATCTGACTCCTTTTTGCTTTGACAAAGTTTACCCCAATTACTTGAGGCTAACATATAATTCACGGGGATGTAAGTGTGTAGGTATCATATGTGAGGTTTTGTACTTGAGCTTAGTTTTACCCTTCTCTTGCAGGCACACTGGAGGAAAATGAATGGAGCATTATCAAACGCAGCCGGAACAGACATGCTCCTCAAAGCGGCTCGGTCTTCTCTCTGTGTCCCACTCACTGAGAGGCAAACCCACGATATTAAGGGAACAGCCGAATAGCTCCTTTTCCAGGGGAACACAGAGAGAGCTCAGGCTGCAGCACTCCTGGGTCTGCGTTGTTAGGAAACATGGGAGAGGCAGGTGCTGCCTGTGGGTCCTGCACGCTCTGAGCTCAGCTCTGTGTGGAGGATGAGGCATGATGCTTCCTGTGTTTTCTCTCTCATTTCTCAGTGAAAAAGGACAGTCTGCCCACAGGTGAGCCTTCCTGCTCCATTAAGGACAAGGAGTGGGGGAAAGTCAGGCTAGATGTGCAAAGTGATTTCACCACAGATCTGAGCCATACAGAATTTGCTTTCTACTTTAGATCCGTGAAAAAAAAAACAAACCCCAAGGCCTTTAAACATGCCACCATATTGACACCAGCTGTCGTTTGTTTTCACCTGTTTAAAGTATTTGAATTACTTAAGAGATTTAGCATAGACTACTCAGAGCAGCAGCGTTGTCATACCTCATAGTTTATCACATAATAATGATCACAGAGCAGTTCTTGTCTTGATATTTCTGTATCAATACTGATTGCGTTATACTCAGTGTGGAACTGAAAAAAAATTAACAATTGGCCACAGACAATGCAATATAACCCAGAAAGAGAAAATACCAGGTGCTAAACAAACTAGATTAAGTACAGGATTAAGTGCATTTGCTAAATATTTATTTCATTTACGAAAGTGTGTTTTATGTGTTGTGTATTAGTTGTATAATGCACATGCCACATTGCATGCTCTGAAAGAAAAGGATATGGGGTTTATACTAGAATGTCCACTTGGCAATTGAAAAATAAATGAAAATGATCCTTTCCATAGCTGAATTTTTAAACAGCTGCAATGTAGCACAAATATATTTATTCCCGAGAATCCAGAGAGGATGCAAAGGCCAAGCGCTTGCTGCTCTCTAGCTGATTTGAACAAAAGTGATTTTGTTACAGGGTAGAAAAACCTTAGCAAATTCAATTACTGCTGCAGTCATTTCATTTGCTTTGCAGATTATCGTTGAATTACCATTGGAAATGAGAACAAATGCAGTGATGTTGCCACTTATTTACCCAAACGTACTGGGGACCAATTCAGCACATGGATATTTCCATTCAACTCCGAAAGTCAACGGATACGTGACAATCACCAACACAAAGTGGGGGAGACTGGGAGGGCAAATAAACACTCATGAAAGAGGCCCCGATTCAGTACTATATGCCCTGAAAAAGGCACTCAGGCATGACTATGATGAGTAACAATTTGGATGGTAACATAAAAGACCTCTGAAATTCCACATAAGGCTGTCAAAATCTAAGACATCCCTTAGGATTGTGCTATAGTCTGGAGGCATTAACATTGCGGAGGAGCGCTGGGATATCATAAGGGAGCACCATGTGATTTTGAGGAGTGGAGTAACAGAAATGGGATGAAATTCAACATTACTAAATGCATAAGCATGCACTTGGGGACTAATAACAGTCATAAATTACAGCAACAGAAAAGGGATGAAACCTTGTATTACTAATTGAAAGATCACACAATTCAAAGCTATTTTTCCTATGAACTGGAAGACCTTTAGTTGACAAGTGAGAAAAAGGCAGCCTGTTATGTATATTAGGTGATTAAGGATGCCAGCAGGATGCACCATACAAAAGAGAAGTATGCCGTATCATATACTGCCAGTCAAGATAGGCAATACCATTTTCATTATACATCACTAAATCTCATCTGGACAAGAGTGTAGCGTTCTGGTGACCCACATTTTGAAAAGTTAAGTGAAAACGTGAACAAGTGCAGAGAAAAGACACAAAGGTAAAGAAAAGAGAATGCACTGTGAGAGTGGAGATTAGAAGTGGGCTGGTTTAACTTTGCAAAGTCAAGGCTGACAGGATATGACCTGCTTCTGGAAATGCACCAAAACACTGGAGAGACATACAAAGCAGGAAAACTCCTGCTGATCTTCAGTGCAATATAGTCTAAGAATACACCGGCATAAACTTCCCATAAACTAATGAGGACTGGAAATTAGAGAGGTTGCTAAGCACGGGAGAGCAGTGAGGCTTGGAAGAGCTGGAGGCGGGGAAAAGACCTCACTAACCAAACTGGAACTTGCAGTGTGATACCTGGCAACAGGGCACTCAAAGATCCAGAAGATGCTTTTCATCCCATGCTCCTGCACTGCAGTGCCTGCTCCCCTGCAGAAATGGCAACTGGAAGTCATACACTGCTGACGTTGTAACCTAGCGCTGACGTGAGTTCATGCGTTTGCAGCTCTGCATCAGCAACGTACACCCCTGAAGTCTTAGATATCTTTGAATGCCCCATAACACGCAGCAAGCTTTTCATTCAAGCTAAGCAAGGAGCTAAAAGAAATCTCACTTGACCTGCACCTTTCTGAAGAGATGTCCCATATATCAAGACTGAATTCAATATGTTTGGAATTACCAATAGAAAAGTTAATCTCTTTGTGGAAGAAAACAAAAAGAAACCTTTCATTTTCATAGAGCAATTGACACACACTGTGCTCTCACTCTTTTGAGATAGAAATGAAATGGAAAGGTTTTGACTCCTATAGCACACTGAAATATATTAAATCCTATTAGCAACAAGAGGGGAGGTTTTCCTCTTCTTCCAAAACTGCAATTCACCAGGAAACGACAAGAAGTTCACATCCGCATGCGGGTGTCTCACACCACCGTACAGACTTGGCGCAAACCACCTCTTAGCACTCATAACGCCCGAATAAATGTGATTTATGCTTGTGGTATACAACCGCAAAAGGGCAGGACAACTCATGGTTTGATTCATGCCAGCAGGCGCTGTCATATTGCAAACAGCCTCTTCAACTACTGCAAATGCCAAGGTCAACTAATCCAGTTCATGATGATGTCTGGATGAGCTCCACTTGAATTTTTCAAAGGTAAATATTCCCATATGTAATACTGAGTTACAGTAGGTAAATGTTTTCCTCTGTAGTTCAAAGCAATATGCCAAGACTTGTTTCCCAGAAAAAGAGCCTCAAAACAGAACTTATCACAAAGACTGAACATTCTCCACTAATACCACCACTTCGAAGTGAGGACCTATGCACCTAAATTGAAATTACATATTTTCATATATAGGTGCTTGCAACTCAGTACTTAATATAAAAACACTAGTTGGTGTTTTCTAGAGGTACAAATGCTTTGTGTCTACCTTCTCTAAAATCAGACCATTTTTATATTGGTTTATCAGATTGAAAACTTTTGGCCCCAGCTGCTGTAATCTCACATTACCAACACCTCCACTGCTCTCCGTGCCAACAAAATTGAGGAGGGTTTCACATGGAAAAAAAGGAAGGCCCTGAGTGAGTAACAACAGCTGATTCCTTGATATCAAAAGCTTCTCAATATGAGACTGAATGGGTTACCCCGCTGAAATTCAGCCTGGTTCTGTACCAGCAAAGGATCCTGAGCCAGGTTTTCAACCGTCTTGCAGGTAGCGCAGTACACACCGCCTTCAAATGAGATAGATACACACCTGCTGGTGGCCAAGCCTTGATATAGCCAGTGCAATGGACAACAGCATACTGTGCTTCACCTTCTTTTACTGGGCCAAGGCCATTCCTAAATGAAAAAGGAACACAAAAATATCATGTTGATTGACATGCAGAAAAGCTTTATGTTTTTAAACTATGACTACTAATGATTTACTGATATTTGTAAGTTATGTTAGAAACAACCAACGGTCAATCTAGACTTCAGTACAATGTCAGCTCCATTACAATGCTATTCAAGCCATACCTGTTTTCCATATTATTTCTCTGAGAAAGATACTGAAGCTTATTTCAGAGATAGAGTTGGTTAACACAAAGAAGTTGAGTGACTTGCACAAGGTTTGCAAAAAGATCCAGTGACTCTGTCACAGCTGAATTTAGTGGCGAGTTCTCCCCTCCTGAGACCCAGTGCTATTTTACACTGTGTGCTAATGCAGATGTTTGCCCAGGTAGCGCTCCTTGAGTGAGCATTAGCCCAGTGGAAAGTGAGAGTGCTTATGGCAACTAATTGTTGTGATAAATTAAGCAATAGTACCTGTATCTTTTTCTCATGGTGGTTATTCTGTTCAGAGGTAAATGATCCAGGGGAGCATTTCCACACCTAAAAGTAAATTCATATTTGAAATGGCTCAAAAATGAATATAAATACCCAAGACGAAAATGCGTTTTAAGATCTGTATTAGTATCTAGAAGTAGGCAATAGTGGATATTTATTTCTGATAGAAAGTCCCAGATTCCTGTTTTCTTAGAACTTCCTGCTTCCACAGGCTGAGCTTTTTGGGTGTGCTACAAATATTTTCTTTATTTTATAAAGAAAAATAGAAAAGACTACAAAAAGATTCCCTCCCACCCCCCAAACCTGAAGACTATTTGAAATAGATATTCCATGAGTGGCTAAAGAATAGATACACTTCAAAATACTGTAATACAAGGGTAAAAACTAGAGAAGAATATAAGTCAGGTATAAATAAGGCCCCCAAATATCCACACAAAACAATCTCAGTGTTCCAGTAGCTCCCCTGGACAGAGCATTTCAACTGCCATACACTAGCTACAATGTTAGTAGATATTAACCTCATGTTTGCAAGAACGGACTGTTTACACTGTCTAGTGACTTGATTTAATACTTGTTCATGTATATTTTGTGATATTTCTAACTATGCCTAACTGTATAATTTTAACAATCCATTTAAAGCTAAGTAAGTAAACAGTTTGAAGGGTAAAACCAGTTCATTTTCAATGGAAAAAAGAACAATAACAATGAAAGAAGTAATCACAAGGAAAATTCACATTATTTGAAGGTCATTCTTCCCACAAGGTTTTTTTAGGTTTTTTTCTTTTTTTTTTTTTTTTTTTTTAATACCAGTCACTGCCAAGGAGAAGGAATGAACAATTAAAATAAGATTTAGAATTGCAAAAACAATGGGACTACTGGCATGTATAAAACTACTCTCATGCACTGGAGTAAACACAGAATCAGGGTGCTAGGAAATAACTGCAATCTGAAATGTTGTTTTAAAAGCTGGGGAACAAATGTAAACAGGACATTAGGCCTGGTTTTCTTTGCACAAAGAAGTTTTCCTCACATGACCACTATGTGCAGCTTGGAGGAAGAGAAAGCAATGTTCCAAGTGTCTCTCTGCCAGGCCTTACTTCTTGTCCCCTAGTTCTGGGGGGAAAAGGAGCTACAGCTTTGAAGTCTGATTTTGCAGGTATGAAGTATATAAACCCCTTACAAAGGCACCCAAGAGCCATACATTCAGCTTCCTCACATGACTGGAAGAATTCCACCATATAACTGAAGTACAGGGATCTGTTTTAATGCGTCAAATATTTTGCTTTGCGTGTTTCATTCCATAACAAATTTTGCGTCATCTGTTTTCAACACATATAGGATATAGGCTGCAGATGCAATTATGTACTTTCCCCCCCTAATCACAGAGAGAGAAATTTAGTGCAATAACAACAGGCATTTTATCCCGCTAGCACTACAACAACAGAAGTGCCCGCAAGCCCTAGTCAGAAGCACTGGGCAGGCAGATCTCTTTAAAGAAGACCAAGCAATGCAGGAGAAGTTGGAAAATTGCAAAATAAAAACCCTCTAACAATTACTCATTTATCTAGCATCAACCAACTGACATTTGGTTAATTCATACCAGGCTTAGGTTAATTCCTACATAGCTGGCAAGTTTGCAACTGAATTCCTGTTTGTCTTCAAGATTCTTTTAATATTATTGGTTTGCTCAAAAAACACACAGAGTTGGCCTTTCATTACACTTGCGAAAGCTTTGTTCCCAAAGTATTGATTTGAATAATTTGACTAGAAGAGACAATGACTTACATTCCAGGGGTGAAGTTGTCATAAAGTTCTCTGGGGAAAGCATCCTACACTCATAAAACTAACTGCAACACACAAATGAGGTGCTGTTTTGTCATTAAAGGAAGACAGGTTTCAGTTTTACTCCAGGTCTAAAAGCAAGCATTCTGGAAACACTTAATGGGAGTGTGTCGTTACACCTTTGTTTTTTAAGCAAGGTCAAATTAGTGCAACAAAATGTCTAAAGTCTAATCTGAGACAGGACTGGAACTATCACAGGAATACAAGGTAAATGCGTACCTCATCCTGCAAATGAAAGAGCGCCTTGATCCCATACACATTCTCATTGAGGACTGCTGACCCTCTTTCTTTACTGTTCCAGTCTTCAAGTCAAGGATTCGTCCTAGAAAAGCCAGGGAGAGCAACTGACGTTTAGTATACAAATTTAATTCCTTTTACTACAAAGTAAGATGACAATAAGTTCATAAGCTAAATGCCATTAGCCCATTTAGGGGGAAAAAAATCCTAAGAAAAAAAATCTTGATCCTGGTCTCACATCGGTTATGTGCTGGCTTAACTAATGATTTCCACAAAGCTGACTCTGAGTCACAACAGCGATGGTCTTTTCTCGGTTGGCCCAAGACCAGCTTCCAAGGCAGGGTCAAATGTCTGGAGGCAGAGAAGACAATGACAGCAAGCATAGCTTTTTGACTTGATCTGGTCGCTCCACTCTTTACCAGAACTGCGGATAAAGCAACTGCATCACTTCCCTAACAGCTGCTCCTCTTTCCCCG